ATTAAAAAAACATTTTGCGTAGAAAAATCTTCAAGCCTTACTCAAGCAATCATCACTAACAAATCTTCAAACATAAATATTTTTCAAACTCACCACAAACTTTGCCTAAGAAGAAAAATTTCCACGTAATCTTTTTGAAAACATTTCTGTTTATTTTTTGTGATAAAACACAAGTTTAATTCTAAGTATTTCTTAGGTAGCTATAAGTTTTTTATGTGAAGTTTATGAAATTTTTACTTCAAACATAATTTGTTTTGACGGCGGAGCGCGTGTTGCTAATTTTTTTTTGTAGGAGTTTTGCACTGATTTGATGGCAATCTCAAATTCGTAATTATATAATTTACAAGTTTTTGCCTTCTGCTCTGCCCGCGTGAATGCCAGTTATCGCAGTAAAAAGTCTATGTTGCTCGCTGATAATGTACCTTTCTACAAGTGAACGAAATTTTAAAATCGTCTTAGTGGTTAAGGCGTGAAAGCGTAACAAACAAACGTACAAACCCACTTTCCCATTTAAAATATAAGATGGAAGTATGAATTTCAGTGGATGACAGTCAGATGACCTGTCAGATGACCAGACAGATGACCTGTCACAGTTGCATTTCCAATCATAGGATGGAGAGCTATATGGGAAAACAACGCCGACCTTTTACGTGTTTAGGCCTTACATCGGCACAAATGGGCCAACTAAGCCGTAGTGATACAAGGGCATCATAGAAAACCGGCGATATGTACTTCTTTCGATGCTTTTAATCGTAATCGATTACACATATTACATAGAACACTTACTAGTGTCGTTTCCGGAGGCACTTAAAGGGCGACAACGCACTTGTGACCCTTGAGTTACAACTTCCATGGGCGGTAGTAGTCGCTTACTGAAGAGAAGAACCATAGCGTATTTCTGTTTGTAATTGTTTAATTAGTCTAGTTACTATTTAAAATAGAAACACACAATAGAAAGCACACGTCATATTAATCAAAACTTTTAAAAGCATAACACGAGCGAAACCATCAAGCCCAACACCGCCCAAAACTTTGTAAGTTGAACATTTTCAGGGACAAAATAATATCCATAGTTTGTCTATGTGTTAACTAAATAACATATTGTAACTATACACATATAAAAACTACAACATTGACAAGTACGTCATTAATATTACGTCATACTACACCATTTGCTGATTGAAATCAAAACCCTCAAGTCATTCTTTCCTTTTGCTTCAAATAAACCCGTTAGGTTACCCTCCGTGACAGGCGGAATCAATTCACTTGGCTTTTTCCAAATGTCATCCATTTCATATCTATTATTGACTGATAAAAGAAAAAACAAAGAGAGAACATTTCTTAATAAACATGTGTTACAAGAAATGGGTACATAAATAGAGAGATTTAAAATTACCCTCTTATATGCAGAAATAAACACTTCTTTTAAGTTTAACTTAATATAACAGAAGCAATGGGCAGAGGAAGGACAATTTAACTTAATAAAACAGAGGGCAAGGCTAATATAAACATAATTATACACGGGGGTTGTTCGGTCAATGGCACTGTACGGTGCACCGGTGTGGGCGGCAGCTCTGACCGCCATGAATAGGGTACGCCTCTGACACCCTCAGAGGACATTGGCGCTTAGAGCCATACGCGGTTACCGCACCGTGTCGACGGTTGGCGGATGCGGTGGAGATAGCCCGGGAGGACAATCACCACTCGCATCCAATTCGGTAATCTTTTTTTTAAGGCATAGGGCCATAGATATCCTGTTCTGAAAGAAAGAGAAAGGCTATTTAATATAACGCTACGACCGTTAGGTGCGGTACAATGACTGCACATACGGATAAAACTGCTAGTGCATGAATAAAAACACTGAGGCGAAAGAAAATTCTTCATATCCTAAATTTAGTGCCTGTTAATAATCTTCTACGATCTCTGATATCGACAACTACGCGGTCGAAGTCGCAGGCAAAACCTAGTTATATTATAAAGGTTTTAAATGCAGACTCCAGTAAATCTCTACTATTAATGTGTGGTATATTAGTAGATGCTGATTAAATTTTCGTCAGGTAACTGTAACCGCTTACAGTTATCAATTCATTGTGATGGTAATGCCGTGGCGAACGATAAACGGTTCTGAAGTCAATACCCAACTCTAAAAGCTCTATACTTAGGGTTGTCACTTTTAAGATAAAACCTTAAAGAGGTATTGTTATTCAATTTTATCTAAACAAATTTATTTTCGTCGATGCTAGATCTTACAGGATACGCTAGGACGATAAACAGGTACAGTATTTATAGTGTTCTGCCAATGTTTAACTTGAACCTGTCCGATTCTATATTCAGTTATTGTTAATAAAAAAAAATAGATTAATTAATTATTTAAATCTCTTTTTTCCTTTAAATTTTTATCAAACAATGACAAATTCAAACGAAAAATATTAATAATGTCTTAAAATCTCTCATAAAATAAACTAAGTAGCAAATTTAACTTTAACAATTAAGTTGAAAAAAAAGATTATAATAAGTTTTTTTTGACCGGTATAAGGGGGCAAACGAGTAGACGGGTCACCTAATGGTAAGCAACTACCGCCGCCCATGGACACCTGCAACTCAAAAGTCACAAGTGCGTTGCTGCCCTTGAAGTCCCTCCCGCTCAAGACAGCGGGAGGGGGGATTTGGGCTCCGGTAACCTCACTCACTCTGTGAAAGGCAACGAAAGAATTGCTTAACACCGGTTTTCTGTGTATCACTCCGGTCGAGCCGGCCCATTCGTGCCGAAGCATGGCTCTCCCACGAATAAACTACTAGAAAGACAGCCCTAGTAGAAAAATGTAGGTAACTTTTTTTTTAAACGCTTCTTAAATATTTATTTATAATAGTTTACTAAACTGGCGTCCCTAAACCTAGTCCAGAACTGATGCTGAGGTTTTTCAGATTGCGTATGTTTGAGGTACTCATTCAATTTACGTTTTCGAAGCCTTCCAACCCTCTTTAAAGGGTAACATTCGATACATTCATAGCTAAATGAACTTATCTACTTTTGCACTCGTAAGTGAATCACATTTTCGGTAAGTGCTTCACAAAAGCGGTTCACGTCGAGATAGACATTTATTGAATTATGTCAAATCTTTGTTAACTGATTATCATCTTTATATGTTAATTATAAAGTGTTTAATGTTTTGTGCGAGTATTTACACATATGAATTTTTAAATATAGCTTCTTTATTAAGAAAAGGTGACTTTGTAATGATCAGAGATTTATTAAAATCGGTTTTGTACATCATGGTGTGTTGTATCTGTAAAAACAACTCCCGAAAGTCTTTATAAAAAAAAAACAGTGTGGAAATATGACATCAGGTTTCTTGTGTTTTAGTTACATACGAGACTGTTTAAGTAATCATCCAAATCAATACTAATAATATACAGCTTAAAAAGTTTGTTTAGTTGAACGTGCTAATCTCATGAACTGAAACATAAACTGGTTTAAATTGAAACATTCTTTAAGTGTTGGTTAGCCCATTCATCGAGGTAGGCTATTGGCTATGCAACATCACGCTATGACCAATATGACTAGAGCAGTAATGAAAAATGTTGAAAAAACGCTGCAAGTTTATTCCTTTTGAAGACGCGGTTGAAGTTGTGCGGATCACCTAGTGAAATATAAAAAAATAACAGGTCTCAACTAGTTTTAACTAATCAACGTAGGATATCTGTATAATAATAACGGCATATCTCCACTCTCTCTAGTAAAAATCATCACATCAGTAGCATTTAATAGTCCACTGTTAGACATAGGTGTCTCCTTAGAAAAGAGGTTTTGGCCTAGTATACCACGCTGGCCAGAAGGTCCGTGTAGGGTTTGTGTCAAGTTTTCCTTCTCTTTGCAGTGCTCTTATCCTGCTTAGTTTGCTGCCTTAGTCATCTCTTACGACACCCACGGGATGAATAGAGGTGGTATTCTTAATCCGTCACCACACGGACAATCCTCGGTGAACTCTATAATTACTTTCTATTACATACCTAACAAAAAGTCTACCATTACACAGTCAACGTCACAGATTCATATATGAATGTCGGCTTACGGCTATAGACCCATTACGCTTAACGTCAGAGCATCCCGGCTAACGGATGGACAACTGGGTCATTGTCTTGAATATATCCTCTCTCATATGACGTGACATGACGTTTACAATTTAAAAAAAGATGTTTTGACATCTGGGATTTAGGGGTGAACATAAATATTTAATAAATGTCTTTCATTTATTAATAACACTGGTGCTAAATATTTTGGTCTATAGAATTAACACTCTAATATAAACTTCTACATTCATTCATTACAACCTTAAAGTTTTATATTTTCTTAATATGTAGGTTTAAGTATGTTAGGTAAATATTTATGTATGTGTATGTATTTGGTACGTATGTATGTATGTATGTATATTTATTTTACTGTTTCTGCCCAGCTTCTCAATAATTCTCTTTTACTTTACATAACATTGTCTACTGCACCTAGTCACACATTTCAGCAGGGCAAAAAATGCCTGTGGCATTAAGTCGGCCATTGTACAACTCATACTTGTGGATTAAGAATTAAAATAAATAGAGTTAAAGTATTTGTTGGATGTAATATGGGATTGTCCTAAAAATAAATACTTACATTGTCAGTTTTAAATAGTGCGTGATCATTTGGATACCATTCGATGAAGGCAGTTCACGCTCTTTTGTTAAGTCCGAAAGATGCAATCTTCTTTTTCGATTTGTCTCACTGCAATTTTACAATTTTCAATTTAACTAACAGGGCGTTGGTAAACCTATATAGTCAACTCAGCTTATGACACATAATTGCTTATGAATTTAAGGCAAACTAAACCGCTCAACATTCTGTTAAAAATATTTCCATCTTCATGTGAAAGCACTGCCACAAAACTTTGCTACAACTTCAAAGGAACTATCACTTCGGATCTCTTTGGCATTTTTGTAATATATTATCACACGAGTATCACAGACCTATGACCACAGCCAGTAAGAGCTTATCAAATCATCAGGCAATTCAAAAGTACTTACTCGTATATGTAAATACAATGAAGATTGCACTAATCCCTGTTTTAGAAAGTTTAAATGTTATTGGAGCAAATACGTGCTTGTAAGATAATATTCACCAGGTTTGAATGGCGAGAGGGCGATCAATGGAATCGTCGCAAATTTCTTTGGATTGAAAGCGTTTGGTATGCGTGTATTACTTAAACCCATTAATTATAAGGCAAAGTTCGCTGTTTTGTAATTTTGATACTCTGGTAACTTGCTCTTATTCGAATTTCTTCAAAAAGTCTTCTTGAAACAAATCGTCAATTTTGTATCTAAACTTTTCATGTTTTTAATTACTTTTTGTAAACTTTATAGTTGTATCTAGATCTTGGCATTTTCATTCAAGTCAGTTTGTTTTTCATTACAGAGGCGTTGAAGCTCTACGGTGAGAGGCTTTCGGAATGGGAGAGGAACGAGATCAGGAAATACCCGGAAGTGTGGTTCTTGGGATTGGAAGCCAACAAAGTTCAGGCCAGATCCAACCTTCCCAACAATTGCGGCTTCGATGACGAGAACGGTAGTTATAACAAGGTAAGGGTCACTAAAACAATTGTTTTATTGGAAATCATTAGTCATTTTGGAGCAAGTTACAATTATAAGGGTGTTGAAAAGTAACGAAGACAAAAAACTGGAATTGAACGTAAAAATTAAATTGTCACAGGGCCTGCCAAGTCTGCAAATTAGAAAACATTTTCCAGCCACGAAATTAGACTTTAAACGAAGCTGCTCGGTTTTATTGAAAACGTAAAATAGGAATCACTCAAACGGAATGCTAAGTAGATGTCGAAAACAAAATTGAAAAACGATATCATCTCGAATTAATAACTGAAGAGCTAAGCGCAAATTATGTTTGGATGAATTATTAGGGCCCAAAAATTGAGGAAAGTCCAACGTTGGTTTCAGCGAGTCATGACCTCAATTTTATATTCTTTGTTATTTTGCTTCGTAAATTTTATCTAATCCGGCTTACAAAACTGTGAAACAAGGATTTGTGTTCTTTTTTTATATGGGTAATATAATTTTAAAGACTGCCTTCGTAGATAGTATAGGCTCAGCCTAGTTTGGGGTCAGATGGCCGTGTGTGATATGTGTGAGGTATTTATTATTATTATTATCACATGTTTACAAAAATTTTCATTTTATCATCAGAATTGCTTTTCTTATATTTTTTGTTCATTATGAAGACTGATCAGCCTTTCTTTTACAATTTCGCTCCATTTACTTTACAAAAAAAATGTTAATTGGCGTTCATTGTTACTGCCCCAGGTGAGACAATTCGAAAAAGAATATTAAATTAGTCTTTTAGGTTATATTTACAAAAATCTGCTTAACGAAAACTTGAAACTGAATATACAGAACACAGAGGAAACCCACACCTTTAGATTATAAATCAGGAAAGAAATGAAAAACTTTGATCGTTGATCGCACAAATTCGTTTTTAGGGGTACCTCAAAAGTAAAAAACGAAAGCCTTGTCAAAACTGTATACCAACAATACAAAAGTGAATGGCACACACGGATATATTTACATTGTAACATGGGGTCATGTAACATTGTGCAAATGTAAATGTATTTCTGGATCTCTCTAAGTCGATATACTAAAAGGCACAACAGAAGAACTACTGCACATTTTTTAAACGACAATTCCCGAATTAGGAATATATCCTGTGTCGCGGGAGACTTTACAAACATACATGAAACGGATACAAAGAACACCCAGACTCAGAACAACAATTTATGGATCACACAAAGTGTCGTCCCAGTGAGCGGCGTGGCGACCGCTTGAACACTATCATTTACTATTATTAACTTCTATTGTGTAGTACAATAATAATAAAATTATAAACTTCATTTCAGCAAATCCACGACCATATAGCCTACAGATACGAAATTCTAGAAGTCATTGGAAAAGGCTCCTTCGGCCAAGTTATCAGAGCTAATGACCACCGCACAGGCAACCAAGTAGCCATCAAGATCATTCGCAATAAGAAGCGGTTCCATCACCAAGCGCTGGTGGAGGTCAGGGTCTTGGACCATCTCCGGCTGAAGGACAAAGACCAATCGCACAACGTCATCCACATGCTCGATTACTTCTACTTTAGGAACCATTTATGCATCAGTTTCGAACTAATGAGGTGGGTTTTACTAAAAAAATCAATAACATTTTAGACGAATATCCTAACATTACATTTTTAATTGTATGGGAAGGCAAACGAACAGAAGACCAATTCTCGTAATAAAAGTTCGGTCACAATTCAGTTCCGATCAATTTTCTATCTCACAGCTGTCATGCAAATGGTAATATTAAGACTAGCAGATTACCGATTCAATTTTCGGTTACAATAGGATATAATCACATTACAGTCAATGTTGGATATTAATACTTTACTACAAAAATACTTTTTTTGACAGTTGTGAGATCGAAAGTTGATCGGAACTGAGTTGAGGACGAATTTTTATTACTGGAATTGGCCTTGTGTGAGACTTCCGCCGTCCATGTACACCTGCAACTTAAGGGCCAGCGCAGACCGAGAGGAGCGCAGTGGAGAGGATTTTTTTTAAAGACACTCGGAAATAAACTTTAAAACTATTGCTAGAAAGTGCAAGTCTGCGCTGGCCTAAGTGTGCCAACAATGTTTTGCCGAAAGAATTGCCTAACACCGTTTTTTTGTTAAGCCATGGTATTACTCCAGTCGAGGAAGCCCATATGTGCCAACACATGGGTTTATCGCCTATTCGATATTTTAAGGAACATACATTATATTGATACTGAACGCACAAAATATTTGTTCCGTTACCATACATCTATTAATGCATTTTAGAACAAAACATACACTTACCTGTGATATGATATTCCTTTATCTTTATTTACCTGTTTGTCGTAATTTCTGGACTTTCGGAATACACATTAAGGCATTTTATGAATTTTCTTGAATTAATTAGTACGTGCGCTCGCTCGCAGTGGTCCTAGTCGTTTCGTGCGTTGGTGGCGTATCTACCTCTTGTTCGTATATCATACAGGATTATGGATTTGTACCCCTATATGTCACTACCCCTATTCATCCCGTGGGTGTCGTAAGAGCCGACTAAGGGAGTAAACTACGCAGGACAACAGCACTGCAAAGAGAAGGAAAACTTGAAACAAACCCTATACCAACCCGTCTGGCCAGCGTGGTATAGTATGCCAAAACCTCCTTTCTTTCTCCTATGTTCAGCAGCAGACTAGTAAAGGCTGTTGATGATGATGATGATGATATGGATTTGTATACTGGAACCTTTAAGATCTTACTTACTTTCCAGTATTAACCTGTACGAATTGATCAAGAAGAACAACTACCAAGGCTTCAGTTTGAGTTTAATCAGGCGGTTCGCGAGCTCGCTGCTGCGATGCCTCAGGCTTCTTGAGGCTGAAAACATTATCCATTGTGACTTGAAACCGGTGAGTTGTTAGAAGTTTAGTTTAGCATTAGTTACTGAGGTAATTTTTATTTTACAGAATATTATCGGATGCATCTCGATAGTTATTTTTTAACCGACTTCAAAAAGGAGGAGGTTATCAATTCAGATGTTTTTTTAGAGTATATTCGGGTATAACTCCTACATATATAGATGGATTTTCAAAATTATTTTTTTTCTTCGAAAGCGGTTTATTCCGAAATGGTCCCATTTAAATTTCATATAAATCTGATAGAGTTTCGGAGACAGACAACGGAACTATTCAAAAACCGACAGCAAATCAACCGTGATTGCTGCTAGGTTTTTAGTTCTCTTTGTTAGTGTTTGTTTGAAATTGGTTCAACTTTTTTTTGAGGAGGATTTATTGTTTTAAACCTTGAAGTTTTTTTATTTAATGGTAATAGGACCTATAAAACATCCAGTAAGCATTATTAAGATTAAGAATACAGAGTGTCACCACCCCTTTTCTTCCCGTGGGTGTCGTAAGAGGCGACTAAGGGAGCAAACTACGCAAGACAACAGCACTGCAGAGAGAAGGAAAACTTGAAACAAACCCTATACCAACCCGTCTGGCCAACGTGGTGTAGTAGGCCGAAACCTCCTTTCTAAGGAGAGGCCTATGTCCAGCAGTGGACTGTTATAGGCTGTTGATGATGATGATGATGATGATGAAGCATTATTGATTAAATTCGCTATTGACAACGACAAAACCAAAAGTCAAACAACAAAAAAATCTTTCTTTCATTTACTAATATTTTTATTGTATACTTGTTTCCAGGAAAACATATTGTTAAAAGCAAGAGGAAGCTCCTCAATCAAAGTTATAGACTTCGGTAGCTCCTGTTACACTCATGCACGCGTCTACACATACATACAGTCACGGTTCTATCGAAGTCCCGAGGTTATTCTGGGACTGCAGTATGGAACTCCTATCGATATGTGGAGTATGGGTAAGTTTTAAATATAATACAGGAGGAACCTGTCGATCTCGTGGTCAGGCTACCTGCTAGTCAGGTCTGAAGTCGTGGGTTCGATTCCCACTTAGGACAAATAATTGTGTGATGACCACGATCATTATTTTGTTCTATGTTTGGGTGTAACTGATCAATAATATATATGTAATTAGAAATAAGCGCGAATATCAGCAGTCAGGTACTTCAGCACAGGTTCTGCCTAGTTTGGGATACAGATGTAGGTAAGACGTATCTAGTTTTTTTTTATGAAAGAGGGGGCAAACAAGCTGATCACCTGATGGAAAGTGACTACCGTCGCTGATGAACGTCTGCAACTCAGGAGTCTTGAGGCCTTTGAGGAAGGAGTACGCTCATTTCTTGAGGGTTTCAGGGTCGTTATCGTTTATGATATTATTTGCATAAATTTATTTATATTAGTCTCATGTATATGTAGTGTTTCTTTTATCTAATAGTCAAATTCAATTAACTATGTCAAATTTAATATTTTATTTTGGCTCCTATCGCATCCTATTCCTACATCACCTGAAGGTTGACTGGGACATAATACCCCATGGCATTAAGTCCGCTTTTGTACAACATGTGCATTAAGTTTTAAATAAAGAAATAAATTCACATACATTTGGAAAAATTATTAAATTGTTACCTAATTCGCAATCAAACGCAATCACTTAACAGTAAATGGAATCAAAACCAACCGACATTCCTACAAAGTACTTTTCATTAAACACTATTGCGTGTCTTACATAATCTTAGTAATGGTAGTAAGAGAACGCCATAACGCAATACCTAAACCATGACACCCACGTTAAGTAAACTTCTAGTATTTGAAGTATTATTAACCGTAAAATTGACACAATTTACCACTGACACATAAAACATGTTCGAATCATAACATGCGATTCGGTTTGGTGATTATTGACCCATCATTTTTTTTTATTAAAAAAGACAACTCCCTCTGCAGGAATATATCCTATGTCGCGGGGGACTTTACAAACATACATGAAACGGACACAAAGAACACCCAGACTCAGAACAGCAATTTGTGGATCACACAACGTGTCGTCCCATGTGGGGATCGAACCCACAACACTCAGCGCAGGAGTAAGCGGCGTGGCGACCGCTTAAACCACTACGCCATCCGTGCAGTAGAATATTGTGTGATTTACTAATTTCTGATCGAGATTCGTTCGCTTAAAAGTTATTTTTTATACTTTGGAATAATCATTTGAATGTGTTTCGGAGTTTGGGTGTTTTCTATGTATAATATGTATGTATTTACAAAAAAAAGGATATAAGTATTCTATAGTACTAGCCTACTTATATTCTAAGTATATAAGTGGGCCAAAACCTCCTTTCTAAGGAGAGGTCTATGTCCAACAGTGGACTAGTAAGGGCTGTTGATGATGATTATGAAGTATTCTATCCGTCAATCTAGTTTTGCAATGTATACTTCGTTTTGAAAAGTTGAAAAGATCAGGTGTCTAATCATTATTATTTATGATAGACAATATAATTTTACTGAGTGTCCATGTGGTGACGGATTAGGAATACGAAGCGTCACTACCCTTGCTCATCCGGTGGGTATCGTAAGAGCCGACTAAAGGAGCAAACTACGCAGGACAACAGCACTGCAGAGAGAAGGAAAACTTGAAACAAACCCTATACCAACTTGTCTGACCAGCGTGGTATCACATCAACAGCCTATAACAGTCCACTGCAGGACCTAGGCCTCTCCTTAGAAAGGAGGTTTTGGCCTACTATACCACGCTAGCCAGACGAGTTGGTACAGGGTTTGTTTCAAGTTTTCCTTCTCTTCAGCGTGGTATAGTGGTATAGTAGCATGGTATAGTAGGCCAACATCTCCTTTCTAAGGAGATGCCTATGTCCAGCAATGAACTAGCATAGGTTATTGATGTGAGAGTTTGAAATCGATAAGTAAAAAAATATAGTTCAACATACAAACTTACACAACTTTTTAAAGGTAGTTTTAAAAATTAGTACTACTACCAAAAATAACGAAGTTTCATATAAATTTCCAACCCCCATTTTGCAGACTTAGAAGTCGAATTTTTAGAAATCCTTTTTTGGTGCATACTTTCGTCATCTCAGGAACATATGTGCAAAATTTCTTGCTTCTAGACCCAACCGTTTCAGCTGTCCGTTGATCAATCAGTCAGCAAATCAGCCTGTTAATTTCTTCTTTTATGTTTTATATAGACATAAAGAAATACAATGCAACAGTTATAAATATATCAATAAAATAAGACTTAATAAAAAATACGCTTTTATCGTTTGCCTTTATCTTTGTTACAACATAGCTATTACCGTGGTCTACTTTTAAACAAAAGATACTGTTAAAATACATTTAAAGAAATCTTAAAAGATGCCAATTGATAGGTAACTGACAATCTTCTTACAAGGTATCGAGGTTTATCGGATTTGAACAAAACTCTTGCGTCATCTTTAATCGCCATTTTTGAACTCTTTCTTCCCATGATGTAGGTCATAGCTTACAAAGATGGAAGTAAAGAAAAATTACGTCACAAGTACTTTATAACTTAAGAAAAACATGAAATCATTTAGTTCGTTGCTTTCTTATAAAGAGGATAAGATACATACGCGTCTCTTTTTTAATACACGTCAAAAAATAGATTCATGAACATAAAATGTTTAGGTCATATGTCAGTTGAAAAAATTGTTACGGCAGGAGATACCGTGCCAATTCCTTTTTTAATTTCAAGGAATTTTAACTAACTTTTTTTTATAAAAAAAAAAAAAATGTACCATCTTATTGGTGGTACGTATTTGCAAATATTTCCGCATTTGTAATTACGTCATACTAAATGATTTCTAACTTCTATATTACGAAAATAAACGCAACAACCTTAGGTTATAAAAGTCTTTCTGCGTAAGGTATAAAAGCTTGACTTGAGCAAAACTCGTTAGTAAACCTGTCGTAGAAAGCAAGGGAGAAAGGTGAACCCGGCGTGTCGCGATGATCACAGATATCGAAACTAAAGAATGTTGTTTTTACGCAACATACGTATGACGGATCTGTTTTGTTACGTCACTTTACAAGATGATGCGATGATGCGTTAAGATGACGGATATCTACATGTCTTTTAACAGGTTCAATAAGATATTAGTGTCTGGGTATACTTCTTGTTTCACCTAAATATTTAATTTGGAAATTAAAGAAGAACACAATCTAAATTAGAGTACAGTCAACAATTTTATATATATAGATATTGTACATATATTTGTTTCTAGAAACTGCTTCAAAAGTAAATACGTTTGTGTAATTTTTGAGATACCACTTCAAATGTTTCAGTGTTGTCATTATGAATAAAGATATAAATACAGTACAGTATATAGGCGCTTTTAATTTGGTTGACTTCAGTTATAAATGCCAGTTTTACCTTACAAATACCATTAATATTTATAAACACAATAAATCTATTATAAAATTCTTCGTGAACTTATGTATTATTATGAAAATAAAATGTTTTGAATTAATTAACTATTATTAATTATTGTATGATGTATTGTTCAGTCACTTTAAAAATTTCTATTTCGATATTATTTAAATGAAATATGATCACTTAAGTTTCGAATGTTTAATGAATAACAATTATGTCAATAAGAATCATAAAAGCTGCCTTCAGCCATTAAAAAGTAATAAACTATAAAGGAATCCGTTCCAATTCACAGCTTTGCGTGTTTACAAATACATTTATATGTATATTTAGATTTATTGGTATTGTAGTAAAGCCATTGTCAATTTACTTGTGTATAACATACGTGTCAGAAATACTCAATGCTGGCAAATACGGTTTGGTTTTATTCGATTAGGGTATTCGCTAACTGTTCTCAATAATATAATCAATAATTAACCTTGGCCCTAGGTTGCATCCTTGCAGAACTCCACACAGGCTACCCTCTCTTCCCCGGTGAAAATGAGGCAGAACAACTCGCTTGCATCATGGAGTTACTAGGACCACCACCTCCAGATCTTCTGTTACAAGCCTCTAGGAAGAGACTGTTCTTTGGTAAGCACTTTACTCATTGACACAGTATTAAAAGCTGTTTAAAATAAAATTAATATGAAAAATGTCTATGAGATTATATGTCAATTGTTAATGGCATAAGAATACTATTGAAATAAGAAATAAATGGCAGAAAAACATTTTTCTAATTTATTTTGATTTGGTGATCGTCTGTTTAGATACTACTATAAATTTATTGTTATTATTATTGATATCATAATTAAATTTAAAAACCTAGCCATAAACATAAATATTAATGTATAGGTTAGGTTACTATGTCAGTCACCAGAAATAATTATCATTGAATTCTATTTTCGTAACGAGTTGGTTTCTCTCTATAGACTCAAAAGGTTCTCCACGCAGTGTGACAAACTCCAAAGGTCGTAAACGACGCCCTGGCTCAAGGACCTTAGCTGCAGCAGTACGTACTGATGATCCTGCATTCCTGCACTTCCTCCATAGATGTCTAGAGTAAGTAGTAGACTTAATAAGTATTAGTAATATTTACGACAGTAGTACGAAGGCCATTCTGAATTCGAGAAGAAATTCGAGAAACACAAGAAATTTAAATATTTAAAATAAGTTTTTTGAACGAAACCAAATATTAAAAGTATTTAAAATTTCTCAGGAGTAGGATTGCGTGAGACAGTCGTAAAGCTAGGAGGACGTTTAATGAAAAATCCTTCAAGGAATTGCCACCTATCGCCGTTCACTGCTGATTTAAGGCCTCCTCTAAGGAGCGCAAACAATCCCAGTATTTGGCAATCCGCATCTGGTGCCAGCCACATTCTTTAAGTCGTCGGTCCATCGTGACGCAGGACGCCCTACACTACGCTTGCCTAATCGTGGTCTACACTCTAGCACATGTCGGCTCCAGCCACCCTCAGTCCGTCTGGAGACATGGACGGCCCACTTTCACTTCATTCCCTGTGATGTCGTTTATATACATACTCCTTTTAGAATCAGTTACTCTCAAAATCTTTTTAAAAGAGATTTTGTTGATATCACTCAATCTACAATGTGTTTTAAAATACTGTGGTCCTATTTACAATTTCATAGGACTCCTTAAAAAAATCGAGGGAATTTCGCAATTTGATTATTCGAGAGAGAATAATGTTTAAGAGACGTACCTACAGTTAACACAATGACATAATAGATAATAAATGAAAAGATGTTAATATAATGTCAGTGCCCACCAGCTTTAAATTGTTTTTAGGGTTCCGTACATCAACAGCCTTTAATAGTCCACTGCTGGACATAAGCGTCTCCTTAGAAAGGAGGTTTTGGCCCACTATACCACGCTGGCCAGACGGGTTGGTATAGGGTTTGTGTCAAGTTTTCCTTCTCTCTGCAGTGCTGTTGTCCTGCGTAGTTTTTTCCCTTAGTCGGCTCTTACGACACCCACGGGATGAATAGGGGTGGCGACACTCTGTATTCTTAATCCGTCACCACACGGACAAAATTTTGGTACTTACAAATTTTCGCGAAAATCTACGTAAAATCTGGGTAGATACGGAACCCTCGGCGCACGAGTTCGACTCGTACCTGACCGATTTTTTTTTCAACTCTCGCACTCAGAATATACCACGTGTGTCGCGGGGTCTTCACAAACATACATGAAACGGACACAAAGAACACCCAGACTCAGAATAACACACAACACTCAGTGCAGTAGGAAGCGGTGAGGTGACTGCTTGAACCACTACGTCATCCGTGCAGTTCATCCGTTTCCTGACAAAAAAATCACTAAAATTAAGTTGTAATATTTTTATAGCGACCTATTATTATTTATTAATTGTGTTTTAATAAGCCCATTAAAATAAGTAATGACGCTTATTTGAATTTAGAAAGGTTTATATTTACAACTAGCTGAGACCCGCGGTGTTACCCGCGTTTGTTGTTATAACCGCGGACAACGCCGCGGGGCGAAGCTAGTCTAAAGAAAGTAGCCTAAGTTACTCCTTATGTCATCAGCTATCTGCCAGTGAAAGTCCCGTCAAAATCGGTCCAGCCGTTCCAGAGATTACCCGGAACAAACAGACAGACAGACAAAAATTTAAAAAAATGTTATTTCGGCATATGTACCGTGTACCAATACATATGCATTTAGTAAAAAGCGGTTATTTTAATATTACAAACAGACACTCCAATTTTATTTATTTGTATAGATATCGAGTTATCTAATTCGTTGTAAAAGGGCGCAATAAAATTATTAATGTTGTTTGAAAGTTAAACGTACGGAAATAATTACTATTTTATTAATATTTATTTCCTTATTGTGGTTGTAGTTTTAACAAATGTAGTGTAGAAATTAAAAAGTGCTGCGATTCTGACGAAGTACTCTTTAATTTTGCAGGTTAATTTAACTAGAGAAAACGTGACGATTGAAGTTACATTCGCAATTCGCTTAATTACTAATAACAGCAAAAATCATCAATCAATCATCATCATGTCTACTAAATATAAAAAAAGATAATAGGTTCAAAATAGGAAGAAAAAGAGGAACAAGCTGTAAAAAAAAATTACCTACAATAACGCAAACATAAATCTAAGTATTGTTTTAATTCAAATCAGTCACTTATTCGATACAAAAACTGTATCTTTTACAAATTATCTTTCGAAGCCGTATTAACGACCGAATGGCGTAGTGGTTTATGTAACGGACTGCTATTCCAAAGGTCGCGGGTTCGATTCCCGCTCAAATCAAACATTTGTGTGCATGAACATTTAATGTTTGATTTGGTCTGGGTGCTTCTATGTATAATAAGTATGTATTTACAAAAAAAAAGTGTATATGTATTTATATTAGTTGTCTAGTAGCCATAGTACAAGCTTTGCTTAGTTTGGGACTAGATGGCGTTGTGTGAATATCTTAGAATATTATTATTATTATTAAGTACGGCTTTAAATGTAACCTTCTATATAAATAAAATATACTTTGTTTTGACGTCTCAATTCAAAAAAATCTTATAAAGACGTTGCAATACATCGTAACACAGAAATCAGAAGTTCAACTACTTAATATAACATAAAAAATTCTTCCACATCATCTCGAACACGTTACGTATATAGTGAACTATCGTAAAATAATTCCCACACGCATGAAGAATGTACCAACGATGGGAAAGCAGATGATACTGTTGAAAGGCTTGCTCTTGCGCAACCGTGCGAACTCGACGGTATGACGCCAACTGGCGTATCCAGCAATCACGTTTCATCTCCATCTCGTAGTTAAGCTTCACTGACTAGATTAACTTATTAATTAAACGAGATATTATTATTACTATTGAACTATCCGTGTTTTAATGCATTAAGAATATGGAGTGTCACCAACCCTATTCATCCCGTGGGTGTTGTTAGAACCGACTGGCAGAACAACAGCACTGTATAATGAAGGAAGACTTGAAAAATATCCTATAGCAACCCGTCTAGCCAGCGTGGTATGGTAGACCAAAGTCTCCTTTCCAAGAAGAGACCCATGTGTTTAGTAGTGGACTAATAAAGGCTGCAGTTGATGTATGATGTGCTAGAACGGTAATTACTTGCGAAGTTTCTTAATAAGACCTGGATTAGCTACAGGAAACTAACAAATATTGTTAACTGCCTCGGTGGTACAGTGGTAGCGTACGCGACTGCTGGGAATCGAACCCGAGAGTTCGATTCCCAGGTCGAACGAAATGTTTGTTTAAACTGCAAATATATATTTCGAAGTTTAGGTGCTTTCTATCTATACTAATATTATAAAGCTGAAGAGTTTGTTTGTTTGTTAGTTTGTTTGTTTGTTTGAACGCGCTAATCTCAGGAACTACTGGTCCGATTTGAAAAATTCTTTTAGTGTTAGATAGCCCATTTATCGAGGAAGGCTATAGGCTATATATCATCACGCTAACACCAATAGGAGCGGAGCACCAATGAAGAATGTTTCAAAAACGGAGAAAATTTGTTACTATTGAGAGACGCAGACGAAGTTGCGCGGGTCAGCTAGTGTATAATATGTATGTTTTTACAAAAAAAAAACTGTCAGTCAATCTACATTTTATAGTACTGCTTAGTTTGAAACTAGATGGCGTTGTGTGTCAGATGTCCGAAAATATATATTATCTATGAGTATATTATACTTAATATAAAGAAGTTTTATTATCAATTCGTTACTTCTGAACACGGTTAGACCGTTGACACGGTATAGACATTAGCTGGACTTGTCTTTCTAAACGGAAAGGGTCAAGAGGTATTCAAGATCTGTCTCGGTTGTATTAGGCAATGATACCCGTTACAATGAATTTTTACATTATGAAAAAAAAAACAGCAATTCTTCCTTCTTGAAATTAGAAAAACATTAAAAGATGGCTATGAATCTTTAGTTCTTTTTTTTAATAAAAAGTCACGCACAAGTTTTAAGTAGAAACAAACAGTAGTATTAAATCCCCGCAATCGTCAAATCAGATTGAACAGTTAACCTCAAAAATGCAAGAACTAGATAAAGCAAATACAATGTAAAACCAACATCATACATACAATGTAAAACCGACAAATAATACCAATGTTATGGCCATTAAACAAGCGAACCCATCATTTGTATCGCAAACCTCTATTGTAACTGCTAACCTGCTTTCGGAACAGTTCGGTAACACTCCTTCCGTATGTAATATATATCAAGAGGTCAATGGTCATCATTAACCATAACTATTACATACGTAACAAAAGAAAAGAGTCTGAGAGCGCTCATTTAAACCTCACGCAAGTATCGCAGAAGGATATAGATTTAAGCGGGCGCGGGCTTATCGAAAGGAAAGAAATACATTTATAAGACGCAACACAAAATGAGGTAAATACATAAAATAAAAGTAAATGATTAAACTAAAGAAAAGAATGAAATCTAGGTCACATTATGTATACGATATTTTCATCTTATAGCCATTAGATTCTTATATAAAGTATGTTACTAAAGCTAACATAAAACTAGTACTTGTATGGTATACGAGTAGTAGTCGTATATTCTAAAATGGGAAAGATTGAATATAAAGAGGTAAAAACAAAATATTAAAAATTCTTTTGCAAACGGCCTGAGCTAGGTGTGAGACCTGTGTTTCAGGCAGTCGCGTGACTATGTTAGTTACAGGACGTTCATATGTTAAAGTTATAATAGATTGATAATGTAAATTACTTCAGACTGGTTTGTATACACAAATATATATTACTTATTGTTTAATAACCTAATTATGGTTTAAATTAGATAATTTTAAAATTGCCAAGATGTTTTCTGTGTCTGCGTAGTTAAGCCTAACTAAATATTCTCCTACTAGAGGTTAACACTTTGTATACGATACGGTATATATTTTACTTTTTATAATTACTTACGAAATAGCAACATACAATAAAATGAATTCAACAATATAATATACAATACATTATTGAGTATATTGGGCTAAATACAATTTAGTTCAACTTACGTTTAGAGTAGACTAATTGGCGCAA